ATCGGGACCTCATCCATCGGGACCTCCTCCATCTCGACCTCCTCCATCGGGATCTCCTCCATCGAGACCTCATCCATCAGGACCTCATCCATCAGAATCTCATCCATCAGGTCCACATCCATCAGGTCCACATTCATCGGGACCACATCCATCAGGACCTCATCCATCAGGACCTCATTCTTCCAAAAATCGTTACACACCCTGCATATGTAGGAAACGTGCAGGTTCGTATCCAAATGAAAAAAAAAATTATCACAAACTTGTTTCGTTGTTGTTTACTTTTATTATTATATTACCAGAAAAAATTGCCAAAATAAAGCTGAGGATGCTACAGAAATGGATGCCAGAATTTGCTAACCGAAGCACAGAGGCTTACAAAAGAATGCATGACACCCTTGTTAATGAGGTAGGACATCTTAAATTTAAGTTTATCAAAGCTTTTAAATTGAGAAGCAAAATAATGATTTGGGAACGGTTTTCTGTTCCAAGCTTACTGAAAACGTTCTTTGAAACTCGCTTATACGTGTCAACCTATTTTTCTTGGTATCATCTATCTTTTTCTAGATTTCCAAGGTATTGCAAATAACAAAAGAGGGCATAAGGAATGTAAACTTCACCAAAGGCAGCATTGTTGCTCGATTCGAGGTAGTTTATACATTCCAAAGCCAAGGCAATGTCTCGAAGGATATGGAGGACCCAGAAAAAGCCTTGAGGAACGCCATTCAAAGTGGCCAGTTAAGAGACCTTCACATTGATCCAGAATCGTTGGTGGTCAGTCAAAGCTTTTCAGGTACTTCCAGTAATTTTTTCCTTACTTGAATGTATTTTACGACAGTATGAGGGGTCCCAAAAGAGAGTCTTGTGGAATACCACAGTAATCATATAGGCTTATACAAAGAAAAGGGAATCATTTTGTTTTGCTTTTGTTTTCTTCAGGTGTTAATCTAACCTCATGGACATCCAAGCCAGATGAATGCAGCTCTAAATGCCACAACGACAAACACAACAGTAAGGTAGAGCAAAATCATGAATGCGCTGAAGTGACGGCATCGTGTGATGATGTGCCTCTGACCAGAGAGACAACTTGTCATGAGGCATGTCCTGCCTATTCCAGTGCACATGGTTAGTATTGAATAACATAATATGCCATTATTCTTCATTCAAAAAGGTATGAGAAACAGTCCCAAAAAACTACAAATAACCTCTATTGCGTGACATTATTATATATTGAGAATGTTTATAATTTCCTCTAAATCAATGCTACAATGTCATTCTTACGATTCTCAGACTTGGCATTACATGTGAGTAGGGTTTGTTAGGTCTCTCCCTTGATTTGGGGTTTTTTCTCCAGCTTCTCCAGTTTTCATCCCTCGACAAAATCTTACCAGCTAAATTTTAATTCGATCTGTGAGTTATCCGTGTACTGCCGTAGTTCAGCCCAGAGGTTATTTTAGGGTATCGATAAAATTTGAAGGTTCTTGCATGTTTTTGCCGCTTATGACAATGATACATTAACAGTATGTTATTGTCCACGCTTAACACAGCATCCAGGAAAGAAATGTTCATCATCATCGGCGTACTCATCGTAGCAGTTGTAATAGCTGTCGGTGTTGTGGTCATCATTAAGTGCAAAAGGTGAGCCATAGTTTCTTCTTCTGATTTCAAAGTTCGGCCATTTCAAATTCCAGTCCTTGTTTTCGATCAATCCCGAGCTAAAGCACTGTCAGTTTGTGTCAAAATATGTATGGCCCAAAATGAAATGTATTTTCCAGCCGAAACTGATCTCGTCAGACATGCATCCAGGACAACAGCAACAACAACGTTTCTATTGGAATGATTGACATAATATAATTACAATGCCTCTTTCAACGAGCTAGTGCTAGATGGTACATTAAACATATCAATGTCTATTGGAATTTCTGCTCATTGTGTTATTTTGATATTTATAGGGATCGACATAAACACATTAGCACCAGTCCCTCCATTAGCTCCATGAAGCAACTAACGAGTAAGTCTTAACACAATTAGATAATTGCCAATAACCAGTCGTCTATATTTTACCTATTTGAAGGACAATTTCAAATCTCGAGTGTATATTGCTGGGTTTCAATCAGCTGATAAAATTCTTTGAATCTCACTATATGCTCTAATAGACCTCCTCGGCTCTGACGTAATGTTTTCCCACTTCAGAGTATCTGATTTCTTTGTTTAAAGTTTGCGCCCGGTTGCACATGAGAAAACACATGAATATGGATACAACTCAAAAAGAATATTATTCTCAAGGGAATGACACGTGGTCTGAAATGGAACAACATTACGCTCGAGCTCTATTGGTAATCAAACACTGACCACCATGTGCTGTCAACCAGAAAGAATTCTATTGAAAACTTGTGATTCAGCTGATGAACATTCCGGCTGCACGAGACAGAAAATGACGTCAATTGAGCAATATCTTAACCCCAATATTTCTACAGATTTGAAGTTGTAAAAAATTTTTTTAAAAATTCTAAGACAGGTTGGCTGTATGTTATGTTTTCAGATAACGATGAACTTCAGTCACGATGCTGAATCGTCTCGAAGTTCAAGGAGACCCTCTCACAGATATTTTCGAAACCTATTGATTTCGCAGTTTCAAGTGTGGGAAAATAGAAGGACTTGAGTGAAGTAAATCAAACTTTTGTAAAAGAGTTCAGGAGTAGCAAGCTAATAGACCAATCAACGACAGCCGTCTATTTAACCAATCACATATTACGTATCATTTATTTAATTCGCACTCAGTATTTTTTTAAAGTATTTAGAGTGTCTAGTCTTGCGAGTTTTTTTTTCGCCAATTTTTTTTTTTTTTCGCCAATTAATTTTGTATAGCTGCACAACATTTTACGTATTTTCTTTAAAAGATACCAATAAAAACCTTCAGTTTTAGAAGAACAATCAGAAGTATTTATGCTTGAGCTGGCAGAAATTTTCACCTGTAAAATCCTTCACCATGGTAACGAATACGTCATCGTCATTGTGATTACCTTTTTGTTATTAATTCAGAGAATAAAAACAATTTCATTGAATTTGCATAAAATCTCCCAAAAATGCATTAACACTGCTGGGGAGTATAAACTCCAGCAGACCAAAGAGGCTATCCTCATGCAAAGCGACTTTTAGAACGAAGACTCTACATCGCAGTCAAGATGAAGAAAGCCGTAAGCTTCTCGCTAATTCTTGTGATAGCTGCAATTTCTACCCAAGGTAAAACAGCATGAATATTCTAAACTTTACTTTTGGTTTATTTTGCCACACTATTTCGGAAATTCTGAGCTGTCGGTTCCAAATAGAATTATTACATAATCCATCTCTGAAAACTTATGAAAGTTATACATTTTTCAAATACGAAACAAGGTTTTCCTTGCCTTCATTCGTACTTCGTACTAATCGTACTCAATTTTAAACGAAAAAAATGAAAATGCGTTAAACATCTGCAAGTTAGTCATATTTATCAGCAATATTTATGGATCAACAACATTACTGAGTTTGGCGGATATATATTTTCAGTGAGTTTAAAAAAATATTTTGGATTATGAAATCGGTCCATCGACCTGTACATCATTTTTCCAGCTTAGACATAAACTTTTCGACCCGAAATAAACCTGTTTTCTGTTGTGACGACATTTAAATTCATCTGTTCGGCGGATATCGAGAGAGGCTGGCGGAAACAAGCCAAAAAATCGACAAAGGAAACGATATTTTTTTATAACCAGGAAAAACACAGAAAGCAGTACTTGCTATATGAATTCCATACGTTTAAGCGGCATTTTATTTTTAGACGAAAATATTGCAAATTTCTATTACGTTAACATTGCTGTCATTTTGAATAACTTGCCTATGATCCCTTTTTTTCTATACCAGAATGCCACAGCGAAAGCAAAAACGTTCTTTAGCTAAGCCAAAAGTAAGGGCTGGCTATTTTCCAGAGCAAAACTTAATTGGCTATACAATTCGATCTGTGAGTTGGCTATATACTGACTGTTATCAGCCCTGACGTTGTTTCAAGATTCGATGAAGGCAACACTTTAGGTACCCTGCTGGGAGTCCTTGTTACGCCACAAAATGTAATAACAACGCAAAATGTAATAACTTTTGACGCAAAATGTAATAACTTCAATAACGCATTTTAAAATTAATGTTTACTGAATGGACGTAAACGACACAGTAGAACCGAACAGAACAGAATAAGAGAATAGAGAATCGTCTGGGGGGAAAAACTGGTTAGACTACATTCAAATTACGAGATATTAAACAAATGCCCGCGACTTTTTTGTTAAGATTAAATGCTAATTTTTATGTATTTTTTATTGCTAATTGTGAACATTCTGACTAATTAATTTATGTTATTTTGGTACATTTTTTACCATAATGTGGTAAATTTTTTAAAGTGATATTTACTTAATAAAATGATTAACAAGTTGACAATATTGGATAATAATATAGCCCTTATCCATGAGACATCAATTATTAAAATCACTAAAGTATGTTGATCCTGAGTGCGCTTGATATTGGTGATATATATGAAGAGTTGCTGATTTTCCCCTCAAATATACTACTGTTGGAGTGAGTGGACTTGCTTTGTAAAAATCCACACGTTGAAATCGTGTATTCAACATGAATATTTATCTTAACGGTTCATGCGAAATTCAAGTTAAAGTCATCTGGTATGGTTCGTATGCCGAACAAATATTGATTTTCTTGATATTTAAAATGCGTTATTGAAGTTATTACATTTTGCGTCAAAAGTTATTACATTTTGCGTTGTTATTACATTTTGTGCGAATTATTACATTTTGTGGCGTAACAGCACTTTAATTTCCCCTCAGTAAGCGAGAGAAAGATACAGGTTTGATTCTGGTTTAAACTGGTTTTGATGCGCAAATCTTTATTACCGGCGGAAAGATCTATTTGATAACCAGAATTGAGTCCGCTTCAGAAGCAAAATGGCCGACAATTTAAAAGAGCTAAACCAATTCAAACCAACTTCCCAGCAAAGAATCTTTTCATTAATAGCAAAGACACGTTTGTTTCACTACCTACAGGATATGGAAAGTCGCTAAACTTTCAAATAGCAATACCGTTGAACCGGAAACCGATTATAAAAGGATTAGCTAGGATTGGGCTTGAGATACAAGGCTGTTTCTTAGCAACCGCCACGCATGCGCAAATAAAATACTACACGACTTCTGCAGTCTTCCATACTCTGCCAGCAGGGTAACTTAAAGGTTATTAAGAAGGCAAGTTTTTCCGGTTGGATTCCCTATGTTTCAATAAGTGGACACACAATTTTAATGTTTTTTAGTCGAGGGTGAAAAACGAAAGCCGCTTGGAACCCCGACGTCACCTCCCAAGACGGGATGGAGATTCGGGAATGGTCCCTGCATGTGTAACACATCTACGCCAAAACACAAAACACATCAGGTACACCCAACAGCAGGACATCATCCATCTGGACCACATGGTCCCCAAATGCACCATCCATCCAAGCCTCATGGACATCATCCATCGCCGGGACCACATGGTCCCTCAATGCGTCCAAGAAGAAATGGTCCCCAGGGACATCATCATAAGGGTTCTCACCCGACTAGACGTCCCATTCGTAACCATAGACAGGGTGGTCCAAAGAAACACCAACGTGGTCCTCATCATCGCCATGGCCCAAAGCGAAAACAGGAAACGAAAGTATGGAGGAAATGTGTTTGCAGAAAACCAGCAGGTTAGTTTGTGGTCCTAAGTAACGAACTCTGCTGAACTTTTATTAAACAGCCAGCCTCTTTTTAACATCTTCGTCAGATTACAGTTTCTATGCCTTTTTATCAGTCTTTCGCGCACCAAGACACAACTTCTTCTTACTAACCTCTTCAGGCCACTGCTCATATATAACTGATTCTATTTAAAGTCGTAAGAGTTCCAATTAGTTGAGGATTTCGTACTAAAATTATACCTCTTTTTAGCGACTACTTAACAATTCTTCTAAATAATTTTTTTTGTCTTGAAACAGATAAGGGTTTCAAAATAAAGTTCAGGATGATGAAAAAATGGCTTCCTGACATGGCAAACCCCGGGTCTAAAGCTTACAGACGACTGACTGACAAAATTAATAAGAAGGTACGTAGTAGTAGACTAACGCATCCTGATTCTCATCTATCGTTTTGGATGAAGATACATAAAAGGCTGACAAGAGAATATGAACTAAGAGAAGGAATCCTACCTATATAGCCTTGTAACCATCATGTGCACAGTTTGATGCTATTTTTAGCTTGGAGATATTTTGAGCGATGAACCTGATTGGTTGATTCCTTGAGGGTAGGCGGCTTCCAGTCTTGCAGTAAACAAAGCCTGTGTTTTTGTCGTGGACGTAGCGAAATATGGCGCTTTTCGTGTCCTAAAACGAGGCATCAAAGAGAAGCATGATCGTCGCGCGGGCATGGTAACGAGTTAAAAACAGCATCAATGATTCTAAAAATAGCATCAAAGTGTACACATGATGGGGCACGGGGATTCCTTCTCTTAGTTCATTTTCTCTTGAGGCTGACCTATATGAAGTATAAGCCTAGAGATGATCTTTAAAGTGAAAGGGCCGAAATCCTAAAAAATATTTTTATTGATAAGAATTAATTTTCTTTTAATCTTTCTCCAGCTTTCTAAAGTTCTTAAAACAGAGACGAAAAGCATCTACAATATGCGCTTCACGAAAGGCAGCATTGTGGCAGAGTTTGAAGTCAAGGAGTCGGAAATCACGAAGGACCCAGAGAAAGCCTTGAGGCACTCCATTTATAATGGTCAATTGAAAGACTTGGAGATTCAACCAGAATCCTTAGTGGTCCAGGAGAGTTATTCAGGTAATCAAAAGCAACATAACAAGCTAAATTCCAATTCAATTCCCATGTTAACCGTGGCCTGACTTAGATCTGCCTAGACGTTTTTTCAGGGTAAATTGTTACTTATAAATTTGAATGATTTCATTTTCATATTTTGGAGGGTTAAAAAATAATCAAAAACATCTGTCTTTTTAAGGAGTTAAACTGAGTGAATGGAAAACAGACGAATCTGAATGTCACAGGTGTCACTCAGTCACGCAAACACGGGAATGCACAGAGGTCACAGCCTCGTGTGATGGAATACCGCTGACCAGAAATGCCAGCTGTTACGATGCGTGTCCTCCTTCTCGAACAATTGGATGCGGAGGTTTGTGTATAATTTATATGAACATGAATCGACTGTTATTCCCAAATAACACAAGAGAAAAGGGCTAAATGAGACGATAGGACATCTTTTTCTAATTTTAAGAAGACTCGAAACTGACGCTTTTACTTGAACGCACGCGCTCCAGGGACAATGACCTAGACATTGTATTTTACGATAACTTACAAATTTCTCGCGCGCTGATTGGTTATTTTTTATCATCAATAAGAGGACAGACACATAAAAAACTGATGTCTATTTGTTAATTCTAAAAAGAAAAAAATTAAAAACTGTACGGTGAGTACGAAATACCTTAAAATTGCAGTCAGTAGTCATGTTTATGAATTTTATACTTGTTTTTGTAAATAAAAATAATAATAAAAAAATGAAAAATTCAGAGAAAAGAAGTAAAACAATTCAAAAACTTAATGGGGCAGGAATTTAGAAACTTTTTTTAGATCTTTAAAGTTGGAGTGTATGTGAAACTATAGTAGTAGAAAACAACTTTTAAGTTTACATTTCTTTAATGTGAGATGTAAATAAGTTTGGATACAGTTTTCAAAACGCTTTTTGGTATGGAGGCGCAGTTTTGCAATGCTTTCGCACTCCTGTTCCTTACATAGGCAGCCCATTGAACAGCTATAAGCATAAGCCTACCACTATGCCCTAGTAAATCAGGGCCCGGTTGTACGAAGGGGGGATAGCGATATCCAATGAAAAAATCCTTATCCAGTGGATAAGTGATCCAATAAATTCATTCAATGAATTAGTTTTATCCATCGGATTGCGTTATCCACTCTTCGTACAACCGGGCCCAGCTGTTAATCAACGTTCCCATGGCATTTGTTAACGCAATTCTTATTTCTGTAATATTTAAAGGATACAGCAGATTTCAAATCGCAAAAGTGATGCTCATTGTTTGTCTCATCGTGGGAGTATTGTTGATCGTAGCAGCTTTGGTCGTAATTAGAATCAAAAGGTGAACCACAAACTTACTGTCCCTCTTAATCACTGCCACTCCATGCACGTTCAGTATTTAAAATGCCTTCTTAGATTTTGTAGACCATATACTATTCAGTATCAATTTCGGATTCTAGCCAAGGTCCAAATTGATGGTTGAATTTTTGACCACTCTCAGGATCACTCTCCAGTTTTGAATTTTCTGTTGCTCAGCAAAACATTTATCATGTGTTCCAGTGAAGGTCGCCGGTGGAATTATAAAGTTTTTGCATAGTTTGTGCATTCTTTACTTTACCGTTGGTATTTGTGAATATTTGGACAATGAAATAAGGATAACTCTGATATGAGTAAATGAGTCTGTAATCAAGGAACTTAGCGGTATCTTACAAAAAAGGTATATTCTAATAAACGTCTAGCCTCCTTTGCAGCCGTTCTTAGGGTCGTCACGCAACGTTGCGTGACGACCCTAAGAACGGCTGCAAAGGAGGCTAATAAACGTCCTAAGAAAACCAGATGGTGAATAATTTGGCACTGAAATGAGGGGGACACTTAATGAGTCTGTAATCCAAGACTACAGCGGTATCTTACAAAAAGGTCTAATGCAATAAAGACCTAAGTCAACCAATTTTAAAGGCTAGGCTGCCGTTGCTTGAGTCCATGGTGATCAAGTTGCCGATTAATAGTCTAATAATCCGTATTGTTGATTTATTTCTTGTTATAGGGCTCGACGCAACAATCTCAAAGAAAGTCCCTCGACCAGCTCTTTCAAGCCATTTGTGACAGAAGGTAAACTGAAGCATTAACTTCTATATTTCATGATTCAAACTGAAAACCTTTTCTCTTGGCCTCTTTACGACAAAAACAAACATTTTCTTTTCTGCTACCAGACGGAGCAGCTGTACGTACATCCCATAATAATAATGCAGTCCCGTGCACACATACACAGGGATCCCGATTCTACAATTCCTCTTTTATCCAATTATCAAGATATGACTTCATTAAGGCACAGGGATATATCTTTTATCAGAATTTGAAAATTTTTCATATTTCTATTTTATTGCAGATAACCATAAACTTCAATCAAAGTGTTAAAAAAGCATTTACTGAAGCTGTCAAAACGGCCTACTATATGCACGCTACTTTAAATTGCACAACTCTTCGACAATACTTTTAGTTCTGATTCTACATGAAGTAAATAGTTGAATGGTAAAATATTTCTTGACTTGAGTGATGCCTCTTTAATTAAGTCATGAATCAAGGTTTATACTTCCAATATATTAATGACTTTGATGTCAGGTGAGGTATTTCAGTTTATTTGTTGTAACTAGTAATACTATAAATTTAAAATACCCTTTATGAAAGCCATGATTAAAATAATGATGCTTTTGAAATACTGGTTGTGCGAACCAGTTCAATTTTGTATTTTTAATGCACGTCACAGTCGTTAACATATTGGAAGTATGAACCTTCATAACTTAAAGACGCATCTCTCAAATCAGGAAACATCTTACTATTCGACTATTTACTTCATGAAGAATCAGTACTGGAAATATTGTCGAAGGGTTCACTTTAACGACGAGTTCGAAGCACTGAAGTCATTGAGAAAGGTGGACTGTATTCTTTGTAGTGTTTATATTTTGATTTAACAAGTAGGCGTACGTGTTCAGTTTTGTACAGTTATTCACCACGAGCAAATACCAATCGACAAGGAAAGAATCAGCCAATCAAAAATATCATAATAATCAACCAATCACGCACTTTGCTTTAAACATGTGGTGAACTTATTTTATCAATAAACGTCACGAGCTTTTTTACCTTGCAAGAAATGTGAAGTTATTTTTTTCTTTCATACTTCTCTCCCTCTTCTATACTCCTTTTATTTTCCAAATTACACGAAACGAGGAGAGTTCAGCCCTAAAGGATATGATTTGATAAAGTTGATACAGTAATCATAGATTGAATTCTAAGATCAGTGATAACATGCAGGCAAAGTATTTAACAGACATGTCAAGGACAAAAGAATTTCAGACAAACTTTCTATAAAGATCACTTGACGATTCGAGGATCGGTACATGATGATGGTGAACCAATCAGAGAGTAGTTTAAATCGCAGCTAAAGTATGAGTGACAGGCGATTGGTGGCTTCTAGCCAATCAGAGAGCAGTTTATATCGGAGCTGAAGTATGAGTGACAGGCAATGGGTGGTTACTAGCCAATCAGAGAGCAGTTTATATTGCAGCTAAAGTATAAGTGACAGGCGATGGGTGGTTACTAGCCAATCAGAGAGCAGTTTATATCGCAACTAAAGTATGAGTGACAGGCGATGGGAGGTTACTAACCAATCAGAGAGCAGTTTATATCACAGCTGAAGATGAGTGACAAACGATATGTAGTTACTAGCCAATCATAAGGCAGTTCATATCGCACCTGAATCATAAGTGACACACCAGAGATGATCTATTATCTAATCTGAGAGTAGCTTCTAGTATGTATAGAGAGTAACTTATAGTATCTTGAAGTATGAGTGGTGAGCGATAGATAGCCAAGCAGAGAACAGATTAAATTACGACTAAAGTACGAGAGGGTAAGCATACTTGATAGCCAATCAGAGTGCACATTATATTACAAGTGAAATATGACGTATGCTATGAACTTTTAGCCCAAACTTTGTTGATCATAAAGACAACTTCACTCTAGTTTTGCAGGATTAAATGACAAGTTTTACATATACTAATTTTAAGAATAACAATGTCTTTCATTTTCCTAAGTGTCCCCAGAACATTTTTTTTCTTTTAACGAAAAAAAAAGCGCTTTGAATGTCAACCTGACTGACACTGCCAAAGCTTGATACTTTATCTAACTACGGTTTCAAATTCTAGTCTTTTTTCCCTTCGTATCTCCTGTTCCTCCGCCAAATCATCCAGATCATCTAGATCATCCACTTTGGGCCCCACATCATCTTCCATTAACTCCGACTCAAACATTTGTTGCAGCAACGTTTCTGCGTTCTTCTTTTGCTGCTTAGGCAAGCAAAATCTAAGCCCCGAGTCAATGACAGACTCTTCTAAAGATAAAGTACTTTTAAACTTAGCTTCAGATGATGTTTCTATCGAGTTTTCGTCATTGAAGAAGTCTTTGCCAAGAGGTCTTGTAGTGGACTCGGCTCTCTCTTTTATCGGGGACCTGTAGTGAAAAAATGAGTTTCGCTTAGACTGGTGCATTGTGGTCTAGCTTGGGTACAAACACCTTTTATTCATCATGTTTAAAATGGTGTTGTTTGTACCCAAGCTAGACCACAATGCATTCTGTTCATCCAAGTCAGAATAGACCTACTACGTATGGGTTTACGCATGCGTGCCCTTCGTTTTGTTTTGGTTTTGGAGATCGTACTCGAGTGATAGTTCGATGTTGTGCAACACGACGCGGCGCGCACAAGATGCAACACCTTTACCGCCATTTGCATTGCTACGCGGCCACCCTAGACAAAAATCGCGACGTGCACTTTGCAATAGTCTGCCGTCAATCAAACACGTTGACGTCATTTACACGCGTTTGGATCGGCCCGGATAGGCCCGGTGAGTGTGGCAAGTTTTGGCGCCTTTCGAATCACACACGCGTGTAAATGATGTCAACGTGTTTGATTGACGGCAGTCTATTGCAAAGTGCACGTCGCGATTTTTGTCTGGGGTGACCGCGTAGCAATGCAAATGGCGGTAACATGACTACAATCTAACCAATATCATACTAAGGTATATACAATCTAACCAATATAGGTATACAATACTTACGAGCCAACTCCTACTCCTTTTTCTTCTATTTTGTTCTCAAATGCAGCCGCGAATTTCCCATGAGAGAACGAGTACTCCAGCATAAACGCTTCTAAGATGAATGCTACGAATATACTAACAAGAAAATGAACCAAGTCTTCTGTAAAAAGTTTTAATTAAAACATTTCATGGCAACTGAACTTATACACATTATTTGCATCTCTGAAATACGCGTAGGACTGAGACAATGGTGATAGATATGAACACGAGGGCAGTTTTTCCAGTATGAAACCCGTATTATGTAAAATTTCTAGTAAAGGGTTTTTAAATTTTGATTTGATTTTATAAAATATTTGGGATACTACGCGCGCTATGATTGGTCGAATACCATGTTTGATGAGAGTATCAAAGCACGCTATCGTCATTTTTAATCTATCGAGCGAGCTCATTGGTCAGTTTGAATTAGACGGCACGTAGGGATAGTTTACTTAGACTTTGCTTTTTTTCGATCTTTTCGCGCGTTTGTTATTTTATAAAACCGATCAAAAACAGTTTTCCGTGTTTGATACTCTGATCAAAACACTTGGGATGTTGGGAGAACACTCGAGAAGCTGGAAACCACTCCGCTACGCGTCGTGGTTTCCTACGCTCCTCTCGTGTTCTCTCAACATCCCGCGTGTTTTGATCAGAGTATCAAACACGGAAAACTGTTTTTGATCTGTTAAACACAAAATGCCCTTAGATAACAGATGTTCAATACGAAATTGGATGCACTTCTCAAAAGGACCAACGAGCCTCGTTTTGATGTTGATGAGCACCAGTCACCCACCAATCTCGCAGAGATATGAATATGGTGTATGATTAAGACTTACTTTAAGACTACAATGACGCATATCAAGTGGAATGACATGAAGTAGACCCTTGCTGCCGTGTTTGTCACCAGTACGAACCCCTGTGTAATGACTGAGTAGAGTCAAGAAAGATATCATGGAAACAAGAAGATGAAAGTATAAGTAAACAAGCGAGTAGACAATGGAATGAAGGAAAGAAGAAGAAAGGAATAAACAAACTAGGGAGGGAAGGAGGGGGAGAGGAAGAGGAGAAGAGAAGAGAAGAGAAGAGAAAAGAAGAGAAGAGAACAGAAGGAGAGGTAGGGGAGGTAGAGGAGGTTAGAAAGAAAAACGTAAGAGAGGAAAGAAAGAGAGGAGGGAAGGAAGGAACGAAGGAAGGAAGGAAAAAGTGTTATAATTTTTGAAAGGATACCATGCCATTGATTCACAACAGTCAGATCAAATAATATTTTGAATGATTTCAAAACATCATTGAAATTATTATTGCAGTAGTGGTCAGCGAGAAAGTCGGATCCTTCGAGTTTGCGATTCCCACAGAACATATTCGTTACATTCCATTTTACCGATGAATTCCCGTCAGGGTAGCCCTGCATTTTGACCAACCCTGCGAAAATCTCCATCCCCATTATAGCATACACATAGTAAAGTATCTGTAATTAAAATAAAGATATGTGTCAATTAATCATATAAGAAAAATATTACGATAGTCAGTTGGCAAAAGCATAAGGAAATTTGGCTAGCACGTCTCTGTTGACATGTCGTTCTTTTGGTTTCGCGCGCAGTGGGAGAAGCACCCGTCCAATGAAGAGACCTCCACTCGTGGTGGCAAGTCCAGGAATCAAACCAGATACCTCAGAGGTGAGTGCACTGTCCCTACACCACCCTTGATCCCTATTTTGGGCTGCCTGTGGAATGGAAACAAGACTTGTATACTTACAAACATGATTGTGCCATATATGGATATCGCTGGGCCAATTTGCATAAGGGTGCCTATGATCACCTGAAACCTGAAAATAAACAGAGAATGCATTTAAACTGTCTTTAAACCTTAGAAAAGACACAAAGGAAAGAAGGCGGGTGTAACTTCTCACCGTTTTACGTTCCCGATGATTTTAACGAGTCTGAGAACTCGAAGAACCATAAGAAGATCAAGAACACCTTGACTAGATTGGACTGGAAAATAGAACCATCGAGTGTAAGCAAAATAGACCCTTAAACTAATGTCAAACGTCGAACTCCACATGAGCCGAACCTAATGGCATCAAAGACCGCCTTGTTATCCATTGTTTCAATTAGGTTCGGCTCATGTGAACTTTGACGTTTGACCTGGGTCTGAGAGTAAAGACGTGTCATTCTCTAGAGAACGATTTCGAATTCTTTGTTTAACGGTTGCGCATGAGAATTAAGACAAATGGATATCAATGGATACAACTAAAACAAAGAATCTTATTCTCAAGATAATGACACGAGGTCTGAAAGAAAACCATTACGCCCAAGCAAAGGAGTTTATCTAGAGCAAGGGTATTTGGAACTTGTCAGGCATTCAAGGTATACATACGGGAGCTATAAGACGRCTCGATGATGAGCGCGATGGTTGCTGATCCGATCACAAGAAAGTCAAACCTGAGGACCAATAACATGTAGGTTCGTATAAGATTATGGATTAATAGCTTTGGAAAGTCAGTATAAATCCAGGCCATATGTACTGGTCTGATCACCATATATCATTACACGTGGAAAACACGAGGATCATCTGATGTCACGGGATTGGCGTTGTCTCTTCTCTCTTTCCTTCCAGTCTCATTCCGCCTCACTGGGTCTCAATTCTCCACTCCAGTCCTTGAGAACTTTCAAATGCAGCGTTTCTTTCTTCCCACTTATATTGCATACGCGCAAGAGAGCTTTTCATGCACAAGGGACGCCTTGACAGGTCACTTGCATTATAGCGTTATTTACTACCACTACCAGAATCCCTTGCACACTTTCTTTTGTTCCGAGTTAATTAGAACTAGTTGTCTTACTATTCTCATGAAGGAATACAAATTTGAATAAGAAAGAAAATTCAGGAAGCATTTTGGTAATGTTAGTAAAATGAAGCCATTTTACAGCCTATTATTTTGCAGATATCGGAGACTTAGGATGATCCTTTGGTAAGAAATAAAACGTTCTCAAGACAAATAACAAAAATGAATAGGGGACTTTCGATTTTGCAAACAAAGTACTGCGCGTGGAGTCAAAATCGAAAGGAAGAGCAACGGGACGCGAAAGGATAGTTTGATATCCATGAATATACAAACTATAGGACTCACCAGTTCCAAAAACTTCGGAAGAATTCCTTAAAACCAAAAGTGTAGAATTTCAGAAGAATTTCCAAGTTGAAAATAGCTAAGAACAGAATTTCTAGGTCGCTGGAGTCGAGAGCGATGAAGATGGCGTTAGTAAAGATCACCAAGTCAAAAAAATAGACGAAAAATCTGCAACAGAACACAATAAAATACAGTTTGTAATTGCTTCTTTTCCTCTCCCTTTCGGTAATCTAGTCTGTAATCTATGATTGTTAATGTCCTTTAGTGTAAATGAATTCATAAAAAGAAAAGAAAAGAAAAAAAAAAAAAAAAAATATATATATATATATATATATAAACTACAAAGAGACTTGAACCTCCGCTGGACCTATGATATTAGTACCTATGACAGACGATTTGCTTTAATTTGTTACTAGCATAAGACAGGTAAATCTTTGGCATCAATCTCTCCAGTAAATGGACCTGTTCGCTGACTTCCAGTATCTCGACGTTCAGCAAGTCAGCGATCATTGAAAAATTCTTCTTTCCTAATAAAGAATATTTCAAAAAGTGGTTATTACATGAGATGCCTTGACAACATGTCTTATAATGCAAAGGTGATGGAGAACATTATGTTGATTTCCAATAAAACAAGTCAGTGCTGTGTTGTAAATACTGAACGTAGTGATAAGTGGTGGTGGTGGTAGTGGTAGTGGTGGTGGTAGTGGTGGTGGTGGTGGTAGTGGTGGTGGTGGTGGTAGTGGTGG